GGAAAGCAAAGAGGGGTCTGAATGCAGGCTCAGGTCTCCCTCTGTCTACCCCCAAGGGCATTCCCTCCAGCAGGTGATGGGGCATGACTACTACAATGCCAATGTGAAAAACAACAGAGGGTTCAACGGTCTGTTTGGCTATCGCAGGAACACTCCAGCCCTCCGCCAGCACCCGTCTGTCTTTGGAGAGGTTACCCAATTCCCTCTCTTCTAACAGCAGCTCTTCCCTTCACATACCTCGACCTGAATTTCCATGACAGATGTTTAGATGAATGCTCAATGTTATTTTATATAAACATTTTTTTGCTTGTGCCTCCAAGTGTGCTGTTTCTTCCTTGAGGTGGGAAAAGGGGCAAGCTAGTTTCTCCACCCTCAGCTTCTCTACCCAATGGAGAGGTGGTGAGAGGAGAAAGAGAATCTCAGGCCTGTGCCCTTACACTCCATGCCAACAAGTGCCAGGTTTGAGAAGCCTTGGTTCTCTCCTGATAAGGAGGAACTACACCACCTAGACTCAACAAAGCTATTTCCCAGGTATTAGCAGGGCCAGGTCAGGAGGTGGCTATTTCCATCAAGAACGGAACAGGCAGTGCAGCCACACCCCTGAGAAGGATTTCCTGATTTTCCTGAGAGAGTCATTTCATCCAAAAGAACTGACATTTTCCTTCTCCTTTCCACCCTCAATTCAAGAGGCAGGGCATGAACAAGTTGATATCTGAGTTGATTTTTAGCCCAAGATTCTGACACAGTAAAACTGTGCTTGTGGACACTTTCCCTACTAATGCTATGTCAGTTTCCTTGTCAGCTAGTTTCCAGGCTGTAGTTTTCAAGTGCCCCCACCCAGTATATTGGGGGTCAGGAGAAAAGCCAAAGCAGATGGTGGATACAAAAGAAGGTGGAGCTCTAGAACACAAAGCTTGCCAGAACTCTAGTGTGGGTGGCACCTGATTGTATTGAGTCACCATAAGTGGACAAGGAGGACTAAGCCAACAGGTTGTGGGGGTATAGCTCAGGGGTAGAGCATTTGACTGCAGATCAAGAGGTCCCCGGTTCAAATCCGGGTGCCCCCTTCCTTCCATTTTTCACATCCATTAAATGGAAGTAAGTACTATAAATACTCATGTTCCTATTTACACCAGGTAGGGAAGGAAATGTTACCTCACCAAGTTTGACAACAGGAGGTATTTCCCCAGAACTGTTTGGGTGCAAAAAATGGATATACCACCACAAGCCCCCTATTTTTTTTGCCTAGGAAGAAATCATTGTAAGGAGAGAGTGTGATAATTTATGTTTCCATTCCAGCAGTCAAGGATTTGCACTCTCACACCCCTTTATTTCCTATTTACTAAAATTAGATCAAAATTTTGTATTAAATCAATTATGTTCATATTATCATGATCATATAAATACTCTTTACTATTGAGTCAATCTATAATACCTACTATGATAGCACTTCCTTCCTTGATATTTTTTTCTGAAGATAATACCTCACTTATTTGCATATTTTTCTTTGTGCTTATTGACAATTATTTTCAAATTCTTCAACAGCCTCACAGTACAATTACTCACCTGGTCCAAACCTATCAAATTAATTTTTGCAAGCTAGTCTGCCTTTGAGACCTGCTTCTGAGACCTGCCACCCAGTTGGTGCCTTGGGAATTCCCATTCCCTCTCCTCTGTGTTGGATTCTCTCTGTTTCCTGGGTCATGTCCTCCTTTTTCTTGGTTTCCTCCTTTATATGGTGGGAGATAACCCCCAGGAGCTTCCCGAGATAGAGTACATGGGAGGTAAAATGTTTGAATTCCTTCCATGTCTGAAAATATTTTTATTTTCCCTGAATACTTGAGAAGTAGTTTATCTGGGAATAGAATTCTTGAAAATTTTTTTCAGAGGTTTGCAAATCTTCATTGTCTTCTAGATCCTCTTGATAAGTCTCCCATGTGACCTGTTTCTCTCTACAAAATCTTAGGATTTTTGGTCTTGATGCTCTGAAGGTGTTTAATGATGCACTTGGTGATCCCTTTCCATTTAGAGATTCTTGTTCTATCTTAAATTTTATTCATTTCTTCTCCATCATTTGGGACCTATCTCTTGGGTTGGAATTTCATAGAAGTGACCATTTTGGTGTGTTTGCTCTCCATTTACAATGGCCAGGAAAGAATTTTCTTGCATTCATTCTTTCACTCATTTGTTCATAGTAGCCATAATACAGAATGCCTACTACATGCTAGGCATACACTGGCTGTTCTACACAGGATGTCAGTGGTTGGCTGAACAGTAGACATAATTCTACCAATACACACATTTGGACAAATGAAAGCTGTCTTCACTTTCCTGCCCTTTTTGCAGTATCTCTGTTTTGACAGACACATTCCAGGACAATATTTGAAGCTGCTTTTAACACACCTAGCCACCTCCACCTTTTTACCCTAATTAAAAGGCCACCCTTTTAATTAAGTGTTGCAAACTTAACACAGTTTGTAAGTATTGCAGGCAGGAGTGGAACCTTTCATCACACAACAGAACTCCAAACCTCAAGTCCTGTTTCCTATGAAATCAATGAATCTTTCTTGTCTCCTAATAGTCTTTAGGAGCCCTGGTAGCTTTGGATCTAATTCTACCTGGTGTTGCTGAGGAAGGTTTTGAGGAAGTTCAGCTGAAACTCTTACAAGTTATCTCGTACGAATTAACCATCAAAGTGAGAAAGAGACTTGCTCTTGTAATTTCCCCCGCCTTTTGCTCGCACAGGGTGCCAGCCACAATACTCAGAAGGTAAGAATAGGTCATGAATGAACTGAGGAAGGTCTAGTACTGGATGATGGCAATCCAACAGACTGGGCGTCCGAACTCTGTGGAGTATTTTACCACAAGGCAGCTAGTCTCTGATTCAATTCAGTATTCTTCGAAAGAAAAACTTCCCCTCTAAGAGACTACTCAAACCCAATTGACATCAGTTTTAGAGGCTTGTAGTTAGACAGTGTACAAAATTGATGTCTAAAATGGTTTTATGCCTTCCTTTGCTACTTAATAAGAATCGCTTAATAGATGGAGTCCATGCCACACTCCAGGGCTGTACTGCAGCTTCGTATTTTGTTCCTCAGTTTGCCCCCAGTGTGGGATGGGTACTGCAGGTATATGCAATTTGACAACAGCTAGCAAACAGGTCACAAAAATCACTGAACCGCAGAGTGAAAAGTCATCCCTTTTTCAATCCTTTTTCATCCGTGAATAACTGAAGGGAGAAAGTTTTATTTGGTATCAGCTCTCTAACACTTCTGATTTCTTTTTTTTTAATCAAAGAGAGCAGACATAGATATCTCGCTAATGTTTAATAATATTCTACTTGATTTTCCATTCAATTTATGTCAAGTGATACTGTTGTGTTTTTTTAAAAAATAGCTTTGTTGTAATTCACATATGATGAGGGTGAGGTCTAGAATGATGTCTAGTTGGAGAAGTGGTGGTAACAGGGGAGAAAAGAGCTGAGTTGTGAGGAGTAGGGATAGGGAGTTAATGAGTTCAATTTAAGTGCCTTCCAGATGTTCAACTGAAAATGCCTAATAGCCAGGCTTAAAACCCTGGAACTTGAGAGGGATATGACTGGAGATAATGAATTTGGGATTCATCAGCATGTAGATGGTAACTGAAGCCCTGTGAGTAGATGAGATCACCCAGGGAGAGCACGTGGTGTGAAAAGATCATAGACAGAACCTAAGAGGCAAGAAAGAAGGAGGAGGGGGAGGGGGAGGG